CTGCTTTGGGATTCTCAGAAGAATTAAATTACTGCTTCAGCTTTATCTGCGCCACAGAAAGGAGATATGCAGCCCTAAATGGAGATGCACAGATAGCAGGAGTCTCAGGCCACAGATTAAACTGACAGTCACTTTCAAGCCAAGGCCAACACAGACCTTGCTTTTTTAGCTCAGTAACTGGAGCAAGCACTGCAGGTAAGTCAAATCTTGGCAGGAGGGCAGGCTGCAACACCAAATGGTAGCCACTTAAGACTTTAATCCTTTAAATCACTTGTGAATTGGTAACTTATGGGAATGTCATTTTGGAGGGGAGAATGTCTTTTCAAAGTTAATTATTTGATTTGGTTGATACATGGTCTCACTACGCAGTTTGGACTCCCAGCAATCCTCCCGATCCTCCCGCCTCTGCCTCCCCTGCACTGGGATTATAGGCATGTACCACCATGCCTGGTTTTGGGGCTGGCACGGGGACCAAAGTCCCATCTTTGTGCTTGCCAGGCAGGCACTTAAGACTCCTCAAAGTTTGTTGGTTTTTCTTTTTTTTTTTTCCAGAACTGGGGAATGAACTCCGGTCCTTGTGCTTGCCAAGGAAGCACTTATTCTACTGAGCCAGCTCCCTGGCCCCCAGATTCCATCTTTGATTGTTCTGGGATATGGCGGTCACAATTAGAAATCAAACTAGATTCCTTCCTGTTCTGTACCTGGGATTAAATTTGGGACCGTGTGCTTGCTAGCAGGTGCTATCCGACTGAGCTATCTCCTGGCCCAATGTGGTCAGTTTCTTGACAGAGTGAAACACACATACTTTGCATTTTAAATGTGTGAGGAGGATTGAATTTGTTAGAAACGAATCTACACTGTTTGGATCTTGTCCACATATGAAGAACTACCCTGTTTTTGGTACTTTTTTGTCTGCTTTATTTTTCCTTATTGATTAAACTTTGAAAATAAAATTTACAACACTTAAAAAAAAAAAAAAAAAAAGGAAAAAAGTAAACGAAAAGCACTTCTCCCTCTTGCTCTTCCCCAAAGAACATTTTTGACAAGAGGAAGGCACCCAACACAAGGGGTTTTGCTAGGTTTTATTCTAGGCAACTGCAGATCCGAAGGGAGCTTCACATCTGGCCCTGCGGGCAAGTGTGCTACCCCGGAACCCCACATCAGCGCAGCTCCGCCCTCATCGGGGCAAGGTTTGCCAAGTGCGACTGGGCAGCCTGAGTGACAGGTGCAGCAGGAAGACTGAGCCGCTAGCAGAGCTGACGACCCCAGGTGAGCAGCCAGACTCCTGCCAGGCTGCAGACAGCTCCACGGGGCTGGGAGAGGGGCCCTGTGCCACTGTGCGGCCGCGCCTAGGGCCAGGAGCCCTTCCTGGGCAGGGCCTCAGTGCCCTCTGCACTCTGCCCCCAGCCCCAGTACGAGTGGGTGGGCTAAAAGCCTCACGAACTACTCCCTCCTGGAGGGCAGGCCCAGTCCCTGGGTTAGGAACAACTTCTACGACTTCTGAAACTTAAAAACCAAGTATTGTATTTTTTAAATCAACTAGAATCTAACTTCAAAAAACGTCTTCCGGGGGTAAGCTGCTTACTGAGGTTATTCCTACTTGTAATTAATAGACTACAGAGAGGATGCAGCAGTGAGGCCCAGAGCGCGTCCTCAACCTCAAGCTGCCTACCGCGGGGCTGCCTTCCCGCACAGGGGCTCAGCTGCCAACCCAGCCCAAGCACCAGAGGGTGGGAAAACCAGAGGCTGAGGCCCAGGGCCGGCAGGCCACAGCGCAGGCGAGGCCCCCCTCTTCCGCGGGGTTTCAGGGCACCCCGGGCTCAGCCTGGCACTCAGGTGAGGGAAATGGACCAGGGCACTGGGCCCGGGCTCACACAGTGCGAGGGGCGCTGGTGCTGCCCCCTCCGCCCCGACGGCGGGGGCTGCACCTAGAGCCGGCCCCCAGGCCTGGCGGGCCCTGGGCCCGGGCTGCCCCGCTCACGCTGGTGGATCTTCTGGTGCTGCAGCAGGTGCTGCTTCTGCACGAAGCTCTTGGCGCACTCGGGGCAGCTGTAGGGCCGCTCGCCCGTGTGGATGCGCTGGTGCCGTGCCAGGTCGGACGGGTGGCTGAAGCTCTTGCCGCAGTAGCCACAGAGGAGGGCGCTCCGGCTCTTCCGCCAGGGGATGTGGCCGGGCAGTGCCACCAGGCTGTTGGGCGAGAACCTCTCCTGGACGCGTGGGCCAGGGCTGGGCCCCTCCTGTAGGTGGCAGCGCTGGTGGGTCACCAGGCTCACCCTGCAGCTGAAGACCCTCTGGCACACGGTGCAGTGGTGCACCTTGGCCCGCTTCGCCTGAGGCTTTAGCCGCGGCCTGGGCCTGAGGCTCTCCCCAGGCTCTGTGGCAGGGTAGGACGCCCACCCCGAGTGGCTCCGCAGGTGTGCAGCCAGCTGCTGCTTGTAGCAGAAGCTGACACCACACTCAGAACACTCGTAGGGGCCGGAAGAGTCCCTCTTCAGTTTCAGGCCCTGTCCACACTCCTGGCCCACCTGTGCCTGCCTGTGGGGTTTCTGCTTTGGAGAGCAGCCCAGAGTTCTGCCAGCGGCAGGCTCTCTACTGCCTTCCAGGGGCTCCTCGAGGCTGGAATCCCGGGGGCCCGGCTCCAGGAAGGCAGAACCACCCTGCCCATCCCACAGTTCAGTCTGCACCGGGCCCAGGAAATCTGGCTCCCCAGCTGCGCCTGGGAACACGCAGCCCTCCGGCTGGCTCGGCACCTCTGCTCTAAGCACGGGCCCGTCCACTGCAAAGAAGAGAGAACATCACACTGCAGCACCTGGCAGCTGCAGACAGACAGCTGAACATTCCAGAAGGGCTCAAAGTCCCAAGGCACACGGGAATTAGCACAGCCTGAAGAGACGAGACTGGTCTCAGAGACCATACGAGACTCAGCTCCAAAACTGCTAAAATATTAAACTTATATTCATGCTCAGATATTGGGATGAAAACTCCTAAAGAAAGCTACAAACGGTATTCTCCACACTCAAATCTTAATTCCTGAGCAAAACGTCAAAGTACATGCTAACAACCTAAGTTAGCAAAGTGTTACAATAACTGAATCATCTGAACAATTGAAGGAAAATACAGCAAACCCACGAGCCTTATGCCCAACTCCTCCCCTACGTCTTCTGCCCAGTGCCCACCGCCAAGGGCTTTCCCTCCCGCCTCTCCTTGGCCCCTGCTCTGCCCTGATGCTCACCGCAGGCTCGGACAGAGCCTGGCATATCCTCTATGCTGCAGGATGTGAAGAAGTGATCACTGGCTTTATCACCCCACATGGTGCCAGGGGTCCAGCCACACATGTGACAGAACCAGCACATGGGGTGGACAGGCAGTGAGGGCAGCTCCAAGGTGGGACCCAAGGACGCAGAGAAGAGAACACTCACCAGGGTGTGCACCAGCAAGGCCCTCCTCGTCCTCCTCCAAGTCGCCCAGCATCTCTGCACCCAGTTCTACTTCTCCCTCTGGCTGGCCAAGGACCTCTAGGTTGGAAAAGGCACAGCATGACCCAGAAGACAGAAAAGTTCACCACACACTGGTTAGCTACACACAAAGAAAATGACTGCCGACAGGAAATCAATCCTACAACTTTCCCAGCACTTCAGGACAATGACACAATTTTGGCCTGGCAGTGACTCAGGCCCTACCTCTACTGCCCTTCTAGGAGCACTAGGCTCAGGCTCCAGAGCCAGGCCTTGCGCCAGCACCCCACATGCCTCAGCACCCCAGCACCCCCCACCCCCAGCACACAGTGAGGTCCGGTGATAACGTTTTGCAGAGATACAATGAGTCATTGCTGAGGTACTGCCAGGTGAAGCAGGCACTGGACAGAGAAGGAAGTAGCTGGAGGCCAGTGTGTGACCCAGCTGAGGCCACATACTGGCCCAGGCCTCCTTGGTACAGCGGCACCTCAGTTCACAAATGCTTTTGTCTGTGAAAAACTTGGATCACAAAAAGCATTTGGCAAAATTTTGTTTTCATTTGCTAGCTCTGCCTCAGGTGACCAACACGACCGCAGCCATCTTTCCTGCACAAACACAAATGCGACCATCTTTTCCAAAACCATGTATCAAACTAAGTTTGTGAACCAGAGCAGCACTGTACTTCTCCATGACTCATTTAAAAGATTCTGTCCACCAAAAAAAATAACAGTTGTTGTGTCCTAAGCAGTAGTTTACACATAAAGATTTAGACAGACTACCCAGCACTTCTGAGTTACCCAAAATACACACTGAGACCACACTGGCTCTGACTCCAGCCAACGGCTGAGAAAGGGCTCACTGCTGCGCAGCAGGGGAGCCCCAGCCAGCACATCTTCTCCAGAGGAGATAGTATGATTGCAGAGAAGGAACACGAGAAGCCATTCCAAAGTGTCGGGGAAGGACCTGGGGACACCCACTTCTCCCAGCCAGGCTGAGAGGAGCCAGGGCCCATAGGGCCACAGGCACCAGCAGACACAGGGCCGACACTCACTCAGGGAGACCAGCGCCTCGTAGTTGCTCTGCATGACGTTTCTGTACAGCTCCTTCTGCCAGTCCGCCAGGTTCTCCCACTCCTGCTCAGAGAAGCAGACACCATCATTCTCAAGCGCTCTGGACACCTGAAATCACAAGCAGCACCATGAGAGCCTTGACGGCACCAAGGCCCCAGCAGAGGAGGAGGGCCCTGGGGCCTCTTCCAGCCCAACTCTGACCATGCGGTGCCTACCTTGGGGGCCTCGCCCTTGCTGCCCGGGGGCAGCCGCAGCACCCAGAAGTTGCGGTTGCGCAGCAGGTTCTCCACGTTCTCCAGCCGCCGCTGCAGCAGCCCGTACTCCTGCAGCAGCGTGCCCAGCACGGCCCACTTGCCCTCCAGCTGGTTGCCGAGCTCCACGGCCGTCTTCTCACAGTCAGCCAGCTTCTTCTCAGCCGTCCCCGTGCGGCCCTCCAGGCTCTGCAGCCTGGCGGCCTGGGACTCCATCTTCTTCTCCACAGCCTGTAGAGCAGCCACCACCGTCCACAGCGAGATCTCTGTGGTCTGGAAGTACGAACTTTTCTCTGTTGTCTGGGAAGGCGGCGTGGACGAGGTCAACGGTGTAGAACGCCGCTTTCTTCTGTGCTGAGGTGCAAAGGCACAGGGTCAGTCAGACTGCACCACACCCAACGCCAACTCCATGAGGAGCGGGAGACGCATCACCCTCTCCCAGCCCACAGGGAGAGGCTGAGAGGAGCCTTTCCCACTTTCTCCCTCTTTTCTGTCTCAAATCCTCTAGCCCGATGGCAGCAAGGGACACGCCCATCAGCTGACAAGTGAACAGGCAACCTGCGGCCCACCCCTCCATCTGGAATGGCACGAACTGGGTTTCGCCCAGAGTTATGCGACAGGTTTAACAGCCGCAGCTCAGAACAGGACCTCACTTAGCAAGGTTCTCTGCTAACTCGGAGACAACACAGAATCAGCTACACTGAGATCCCTGCGGTGCGCCCTAACCCAGTGACCAGTGTCCTTATAAAGGAAGAGAAGTCTAGGCTGGCCAGATAGCGCAGCAGAGTAAAATGCCTGTTTAGGCAGAGCTCCGCGGCCAAGTTCGATCCCCAGCCTGCTGTGCTGGCCCCCGCCCTATCCCTGCCCCTGGGGCGCGCTGCGACTGTGACTGAGACCAGGCATGGTAGCATGCACCTGTAATCTCAGCACTTGGGAGGCTGAAAACAGGAGGATCACTACGAGTCCGATCTGTGCAGTGAGGGCCCTGCAGACCTTGTATTAAATACCAAAAAAAAAAAAAAAGAGTAAGTCTGGACACAGACACACATAGATGACAACGTGATGACGTGTAGGGACAGGGCCACGTGAAGGTAGATGCCATGACTGGAGCTTTGCTACCACCAACCAAGAATGTACGTGGGGTCACCAGGAGCTACTGCAGGAGAGGCAGGAACTTCAAAGGAACCGACACACCGACACCTTGGTTTAGACTTCTCGTCTCTAAGTGGGAAAGACGACAGTGCTGTTGTTGAAGCCCCTCTGTCTGTGGTACAGTACTGCTACAGCAGCCCTAGGGAATTAACTCACCACACAGAATACTACTCAGCAATAAAGAAGGAGCAGGGGAGGCGCAACAGATCTAAATGAGCCAGGAAGAAACAGCTATATAACGTAACCCACTAACTCAACATTCAAGAGGAGGCAAAACTAACAGTGGCTGGCAGGCACTGGGAGAATGGCCACTCGGAAGCACAAGGGAACCGTCTGGGAAAGTGGGAAGAGTCTATACCTCAGTAACTCAACGGCTGCTTGTCTCTCAAACACACTGAACTCTATGTATAGAGCACATTTTACTGTATGTAAGTTGGAGCTCAGTAAGCAGAACTTAAAACATCAAAGGAGGAAGAGTGTAAGCTGTCCAAAAGTTCCATAAGCCAAGTATAAACACAAACAGGTAATCCCTGTGAAGTGAAAACAATAAGCCCAAGTAAAGCTTCACACTGCCTCATTTGTGAAAGGGAAACATGGGCAATCAGAAACAAACGGAATCCAGGCGTGGTGGCACACGCCTGTAATCCCAGCACTGGGAGACTGAGGCACGAGGATCGCTGTTAGTTCGAGACCAGCCTGTGGGCACAAGCCCAGCCCCAACTGCATAGTGAGACCCTATCTCAAAAGAAGCAAATGGAAAGAGAACTGCCTCTGCAGCTAAGAACGTGAGCACACCCAAGGAAACAGCTTTTCATGTCGGATGGACACTACTCAGAGCCATCCACGCCAACGCATGCACACGAATGGAGCACTCTCACCACGCTCTGGAGAGGGACATCCCTGCAGACTTGGGGAACCCCACTTAGGGAATCCATCTTGCTGAAGGAAATGGCACCAGCATTCAATTCACATTCAAGTAATATGACTGCTGGTTAACACTATGGAATAGTCAAAACCTGGAAATAACTCAGATGTCATTTTTTTTGGGTGCTTAGAATCAGGCTCAGAACTTTGTGCTTGCTAGGCAGGTGCTGTGCTGCTGAGCTGTCTCCCAGGCCCCAGATGTCTATTAATAAAAGAATGGCTAAGTTATGGCACAAAGACAGTATCGTACAAGCATTAAAACAAGTTAAATATGGCTTGGAAAGCATGCACCCTACACTGACAGATGAAAAGGCCAACCTTTGCCAATACGTGATCCCATTTTGCTAAAGAGAAAATGTGTGTGTTGAGCACACAGAAAGGTCTGGAAAAATACTCACCACGCTACACCTTGGGAGGGAGGGGAGGGACAGATTTTTGCCTGCCATCAAAAATTATTACTCAGGTTTTCATTAAACATGTATTATTCTGTAATGTTTTCTTAAATTCAGTACTTAAGAATATTTCTGAAGGCAATGAGAACATAGCAGCTAAACTTCTGCTGACCATATTTCTAGGTTCTCTGGCACAGTCCTGCTTTTGAGTTTCATACAGTCAAATCATAACTCAAACAATATTCACAGCATTACAGTTTGAAAGCCCAACCACCATAAAACACAAAATACAGTCTCATTACTGGGTGTGGTGATACACACCAGTAATCCCAGCACTCAGGAGGCTGAGGCAGGAAGATCAACTTGAGTTTGAGCCCAGCCTGAGCTATATAGCAAGACCACATTTTTTTTTTTTTTAAAGTATTTTACCAAGCAAAAAGAAAAAAAACAAAGCAAGCTACAAGGGAGTAGAACATCCTCTGGTCTTGCAAGGATGCTGAACATGGTCTGTTCAATAAAATACTACAGTTGTGTTAAAATCTTTTATTGTGACGTGAATTTCTCTTGTACTCTGTCAACTCTGTTTTCCATACTCTCAGATTATATAATTTGTTGCATGCTTACAAATATTACATGGAGGCGACACATTTCCATTGTAAAAGTAGCAACAGTTTTCTATCTAGTCATGTCAATACATCTGAATCAAATTCTTTTTACTAGTATTGGTCTGGTCTATTATGATTATATCCTTTTATATTCAATCATTCCTATAGACTTATCTTTCAGTTGTACCTCATAAAAACACAGGATTCTTTCATCTTGATAATCTTTGCCTTTTAACTACTTACCTCATTTATTGTAACTGCTTTTTTTTCACTTTTTATACTAGTTATCTCTTCATGCTCTGTTGCCCTTTTTTGTGTTATTCTCCCTCCTAATATTTAAGCTACAGTGCTCACTTCTGCAGCACATATACTAATGCATAAGTTACACAGCTGTCTCATGTACCGTCTTTCACTGCTGGGACAAAATGCCCAACACCCAAAATTAGGGAAGGAAAGGTTTATTTAATTTAGCTCACAGGGAGTGGAGGTTTCAGTCCATACTCGGCCGGCCCAGGGCACAGTGGCCGTAGCAGAGGGCAGCCTTTCACGGCAGCGGCAAAAAGCAAAGCGCAAAGGGAGGGGGCAGCAGCTGCAGGTTCTTGCAAGCGTCTCTCCCCTCCAGTCTGCCCACCTCGGGGCCAAGGTGTAGCACTCACACCTGCAATCCCAGCACGAGATCAAGAATCAGTCACAAACTCCAGAAGCCACCCATGACTGCATGAGGCACACAAACCATAACAACAGTAATTTGTAAATTACATAGTCTTTTAACAATTACACTAGAAATTATAAGTATAAAAACTAAACACATGAATTCTGAACATCTCTTTCTTACCATCAGTGTTGTCATGTATTTTAATTGCTTTTAACTCTAAGAAATTATTGCTATTGTGGTCAGTTAGTATTTGTTTAGATTCACTGATTCTCATAAATTATCAAAAAAAAAAAAAACAAAAACCAAAAACCAAAACAAAACCCGGGGCCGGGGAGATGGCTCAGTAGAATAAGCGCTTCCCTGACAAATGCAAGGGCCTGAGTTCAATCCCTGGTTCCGCAAAAAAAAAAAAAAATTATCACATTTTCAGACCTTCCATATGGGATGATTTTCTATCTAACTGAAGCATAGTCTTAAGTTCTATATTGGGTTTTTTTGTTGTTGTTCATTGAGACAGGGTCTCACTGTGCAGTTCAGGCTGACCTCAGACTCACTATGTAGCCCAGGCTGGCCTCAACCCTTCGAGTGCTGTGACTCCAGGCATGGGCCACCACATCTGGTTGCAATCTGTTTTATCTGAAAATGTGTTTTACCCTTGTTTTAGAAAAAGTTTTGTTTGTGGAGCTGAAAACAGAAGATCAGTACAAGTTCGAAGTGCAGAGTGAGACCCTGCACAAAATATGAGAGGGAGACAGGGAGGGAGGGAGGGAGGGATCTGGTTGCATATAAAACTCTGGGGTTATAATTATGTACTTTCTTTCTATCCACTGAGAACATTTATTGACAAGTTTTCCATCTTTCTGTTGAGAAGCTGGCCCACACTGTCTTACTATAGTCCGTGTAAAAGCGACCCTTCTTGTCTGGTTGCTTTTAAGAAGTCTGTCCTGCATTTTGCACTTTCATGATTACATGTCCAGGCAGGGATGTCTTTCTGTCGGTCCTAATGGATGGCCACTGACTCCATGAACTGCTAGCAGTCCTACAATCCCATCGCCTTTGGCTACTCATCAAATTCTGCCCCAGGTACGGCGTGTGCTTGCATGCTCCCCTTCTGGAATTCTGCTGAGATGACTCTAACTTCTCAGTCCAGTTTCCCTGTCTCTTACCTTGTCATGTTTTCCATCTTTTTTTCTTACTCTGTGCTGCTTTCTGTATAATTTCTTTACCTCCACCATTTAGTCGTGTTACATGAACTTTTCCAGTCTTTTAAATTTTAATTGCATTTTTCCTTCTTAAAATTCTTAGTTGATTCTTTTCCAAATCTATATGGTATTCTTAGTCTCTTGGTTCTCCCTATTTTCTCACTTTTATTTTTAAATATTAAACACAGTTACTTCATATTACGTCTGATAACTCTAGTATCTGAAATCTTTTTGAGACTAATTTTGGTCACTATTTCTCTTGAGGGGGGAGGGGGGCAGGGACTTGAACTGAAGGCAGGCCCGTGCTGCTCAGCTACACCCAACTCTGCTCACTGTTACTCTTACTGACTTTCCCTCACTGGTTTTCCTTGACTGGTTGGTAATTTTCTACGACTTTTTTTTTTTTTTTTTGGTGCAGTACCGGGCATTGTAAACTCCTACTTCTTAGAACTTGATGAGAATTAGTTGAAATCTAAAAATTAAATGCAGATTTCTCCAGAAAAGATTTGTGCTTCTTTCTGATAGCTGGGTGCTCTACTTTCAACTCTGGGTAAGACTTCTTGGATCACTCAGACAGATTTAATCTAGGCAATAAACCCACATCCTCATATCCATCTCTCGGTGCCAAGTTTAGACAAGTTTTTGTTGTTTTGCTTTTTTTTTTTTTACACTCACCTAAGGGAAAGGGTTCACTTTCAGTTCATTCTTAGAATGTTGGCCCTCAGCTTGTGTGGGATTACAACAGATCAGGACTTCTTAGATGCTTTTCAGCCTAAGTTGTCTACCTGCTAGGTCACTGAATAAATATATATATATATATCTCCATATGTTTCCCTTCAGGACCAGGGATATAGCTTGGTGGCACAGTACCTGCCTGGCAGGCACGAGGTCCTGAATTCAAGTCCCAATACCCCCCCCAAAAAAAAGTGGCACCAGAACTCCACTTACCTCTTGAGTTCCCTCCTTCATTTACTTTTGCATCTCCAAGGTTTACTTACTGAACATCTCAAACACACTAATGCACTTACGTAGGTTTTCTCCTCAGCATTTTCAGCACCCTTACTCACTCTAGAGATACAGACCCTCATCTGAAGAATATCTGAGAACAGAAATGTTCACGAATGGTGTCTCACAATGACAAACCCACAAATCATTTCAAGCATAGTTTGCATTTTCTTGGATCTTTTTTCTTCTTTGTTTTGGCAGTACCCAGGATCGAACTCAAGACCTTGCGCTTGCCAGGCAAGCACTTATTCCATTGAGCTATCTCCCCAGCCCCATTTTGGTGGATCTGTAGTACTTCCACAAAGTTCGTTGATGACATAAGAGACCACGCAACAAACACTCTTGTTTGTTTTTTGGCGGAACCGGGGATTGAACTCAGGTCCTTGAGCTTGCCAGTCAAGCACTTATTCTACTGAGCCATCTCCCCGGCCCCAACAAACACTCTGGCAGGATCTGCCAGTGCCCTCTAGCATTCCTCTGGTCTTGAGGAAAAGCCAAGTCTTTGATTTGATCTGCTTAGCTTAAAGGAGTCAAAGAAGAAAATATTGCAGATATCTGTGTTTTGCCTTCCCAACTTAACAGCTGGCTTAAAAGCAAACGCTGCACTAGGTGGACCAATCCCCCCCCCCCTTCTTTTTATCCATTCCGGTAAGACTCAAATGGGGGTGCACCTGCTCATGCTAAGGGATCTCCTCGCTCTTCCGCTCTCACCAAAGGTCTCACGCGGTTCTGAAAGTGCTTCTCGATCAGAAACAGCCGGCACGAGAACGAACTGAGCTCCACCTGCGCTTTCCACAGCAAATGCTCTGTGGAATTCTCAAATCCGGGGAGATGGCTCAGTGGAATAAGCGCTTCCCTGGCAAGCGCAAGGGCCTGAGTACAATCTCCGGTTCCGTTAAAAAAAAAAAAAAAAAGGATGACTACAACTTTGGAATAGCACGGGGACGTCGGAGCCGGAAGGAACCT